TAAACTTTAGTCTAATTTTTTCATCGTGGTACTTTTCAAAGAAAGTGACACCACCTTTAAAAAAGCACAACCCAATATTGCATGTTTTCCACATGTGCTGGGATCCGTATCAGATTCACTATCTGAAAGCAATTCGTGTAGCACTTTCAGTGCTTTAGAAATGGTGAGCCCTCTCTGATCCATTCGGAAAATAATTAAAAATCCGAAAAAATAGACTAATATTATATCTACAATTTGAATTTATAAACTATAAAATAAAAATATAAATGTCTACAACTCAAAACTATTAAACATAGCACTAAGAAAACTTCTTTGAATCAAAGCGAAAAAGAAAAAGAGAACTGCTCTAGTGAAAAACCAAACAGCTAACTTATAAAATTATCCCTGACCTTCAGAAAATCACCCCAACAATTTCTTAGTTGATAACCAAACCTCCTCTCTCCCCCCCCAAAAAAATGGAAAAGAAATAAGAGAAAAATAGGAAATGAAACACAGATGTGGACCCATCTTTCTATGTTAATGAGCTGACCAATGCACTGCAGAGAAACAAAGATACCGTTGCCTCTCAATGACCTAAACTCGCAGTGAGCCCAGTCTGGGAACACCTCGGTTCACCATTCGATTTTAGGTGAGATTTCAAGGTAAAAATTTAAAAGTAATATAGAATAAGTAGATTAGCATACAGCCAAAAAAAATTACATAGAAATTTCCTTTCAAATAATTCCTTTTATAACCTAAAAAAAAAAAAAAAAAAAAACTGGAAGATTTCTTTGAAAAATGAGAGTCTTAAAAAACCAAACATGGCTAAAATATATGGACTGGTTTGTGTTGAGCTGCCATCTACTATAAATAAATAAGGTTCAGAGTAACCTATAGTAACCTTCAAATCCTTTTTTATTCAATTTTTCTGTGCATACAGAAGGAAATTTTTAGGTGTGCCTAGACCAGACACACCGTGCCGCAAAGGGTTAAGGGAAACTGACTTATATACACGTTACGCATGGTGAAAACCACAAAAATGCCCATGTGGCCAGCCAGCGGATTCAAACCTAGGGCTGAACTACCAGTGTTCAGCAACTTTACGACATGGCCACTGGTGGGCCCTTTTGCATGAAAGAACTGAATACTGCTGATACTACTGTTACACACTGGAAGAATTATTTAAGAGGAATATGCATCTAAGACATACAGTATCATGAAAATAATAAAAATAGCAATAATAAAAAAGGTGGTGAATGCTTAATCACAGAGATTGATAAAAACCTCTTCTTGAAAAGAAAAAATAACATTGGCCATGTTCTGCTTCCTCATGAAATTTAAATATATATGTAATAATAAAATTCCATAGTCAAGAATACACTTAAAATTCTAACTGTATGTTCTTTGGAAGAAGAGTATACAATTATGTCATCAAAATAACTACAAGCAAATTGGAATTTATTTTTAGTGAGGATGCGTTTAATAACTCTGTTAAAGATAGCCTGTGCATTTTTTGAAGCCAAAAGGGTGTCTTAGCCATTCATACAGTCCAAAATTTGTAATAAAAGCCAATTTTTCGGTATCATCAGGGTGAATAGGAATGTGCCAAAACCCTGATCTTAGATCTATTGTAGAAAAAAACATTTGCATTACTTAACTTTGTCTAATAAAAAGTCTATCCGGGGCAGGGGAATGAGCATCAGATCTTTGCTAAAGGGGCAGGGGATGAGCATCAGTCTTTGCTAAAGCATTCAACTTACGATAATCAATACACATTCTAGTTTTTTTGCCCTCATCGCGTTTTAATACTAAAGTTACTGGGGATGCATAAGGAACTACTACTTTCTTTAATAATTCCATTTTTTAATAATTGATCAATTTGTCGTCTAATTTCTTCTTCTTCCTTAGGGGAAGTTCGATAAGGTCTTAAAGTGACAGGCAAATAAGAAGTCAAGTTAATTCATTGTGGTTCAATGTTAATTTTACCTACATCATATTTATTTTTGGAAAACACATTCTTATATTTATTTAACAATTTAATTAATTCAGGATTTTCTTCCTCCATACTCTCTGAATCTGTTATTTCACTACTTTGTTTTTTCACATCACTTTTTTGAATTTTTAGTTTTACATTACTTTCATTATTTACATTAACTCTTGTTACCTTAGACATCTTATCATCATTAAACTTCATAATGTTAGATTTATTACTTTCATTAACTATTATACCTTTAGACACATTATTTTTATCAACACTTATTATTACCTCAGAGATATATATTACTTCTAGTTTTGTCTTAACTGATGGCATTACATTACTGTTTTTTTCAAGTACTTGATCAAGTTGTACATGCAAAGAAACTCTGTTATTTACATTCACAGAATTTGAAATGTTTTAATTTCTTTGAGTTACCACTAAATTACTACAATCAATTTTTAATTCAAATAATTTACATTCATTTAAATCCAAAAGAACATAATCTAAATTAGTATCTAACACTAACAAGTTAATTAGTTTAATAATATTTCCAATTTTCATTTGTAATCTACACATTTATCAATAGAAAAATTTCCTTTAGTTTGCCTAATTTGAATACCTTTTACCTTTTGAATTTTTAACTGTAAATTGTTTGCATATTTTTCTGAGATGATAGACAATGTCGCGCCAGTGTCCATGACACAGTCGACTGATCTGCCATGGGATAAAAATCCCTTAATTCTGAGTTGTCAAATTCCCGAAGAATCAGACCCCGAATTTTTGTTTTCCACATTAGAATTAGTTTCAGTTTCGTTGTTCTGATTTCGGAATGGGCAGATTTGAGCCCAGTGATAATAATTTGGTATCCCTTTTTTGGTACATATTGTACAAGGTAATGGGGCGATACCGTCAAAATTACTATTAGCATGGCAACTTACGACTTTATTTCCATTGTTGATATTGCTGTTAGATTTATTTCCAATTTGTTGAAAACTGTGAGGTTTGTAGTTAGATGCATTAGGTCCATTATCAACAAACTGACGATTATTATTTCGGAAATTAGCTTGTCTGAATTGTTGACTATTCCTATCTCTGTTATAATTTTGCGAATTTTCATCTTTAATTTCATGAATTTGTCGAAGATTGTGGGCTTGTTCTAGCCAAGTTATCGGATCAGCGGGACTTTGAACAATCATCAAAGACTTTAAGTTCGTTAGCAAACCATCTGTCAAACCTTCTAAATTCATTGATTTATCCAAATTAAGCCGCTAACCCACTTCCATTTTCTTTTGAAAGTAATTTGTGATGTCTTCTCTAGCGTTATATTTCAAATTAGCAAAGTCGCCAAAAGTAGTTAAGGTGGGATCGATAAAGTTTTCTTTTAATATTTGTTCAAATTCTGAGTAAGTTTTTAGCTCATGGCAAATTTTTAATATAGAGCCAGAGGGCTTTTCCCTTAATGTAACGAGAAATATTTTGAAGTTTCCAATTTTTGTCCTTATTTTGGCAGACTTTGTTAAAATAACCTAACCAAGAAATTATGTCACTGTCCTTAGAATCTTCAAATGGAATAATATTTAAATCTATTGTATCTTGATTCATATTCAGTGAACCGTCAAGATTAACGGGTTCCTGATTTGTCGACATTGTAACTGAAACTTTAAAATTTTCTTGAGAACAAAAAATGTGCACTTTTCTCAAAATATTTTTACAATAGTTAAAACATTTTTTTTTTTTTTTTTTTTTTTTAACCAAAAACTCTTCAGAGTATTATAAACACTTCATAGAATAACAGACTTAAGTAAAAACTTTGTATTCTCAAATTTTATGATTATCACTACACATTTCAGGATAATATCAAATCTTACTTAGAATACTATTAATTAGAATAAGACTTGAAATTTAAATAAACTTGTAATTACTTTAACATAATATATTTAAAACAAACTATTGCCATAGCAATTTAGTTCACACATTGAGGAAAAATAATTTCTAAAAATATGTTCTTACTTGGCTGTTGAGTACACTATTTAATCCTGCTCGTTTGTGTGCTGTTAAAAAACACAGCATAAATGATTGAAATTCTTCACATTCTTTCCAGCAGACGATGTCCAAATCATGCGGTTCTAACTATGAGACTTGCTCAAAATGTGATAACAAAGCTGTATCACAATTCACAATTCTTCAATTGAAAAAAAAAAAAAAAAAAAAAAAAAAAAAAACCAAGCATAAATGATTGAAATTCTTCAGCTTGTTTCCAGCAGATGATATCCAAATCATGCGGTTCTAATTATGACACACGCTCAAAATTCAAAGACAAAGCTGTATCGCAATTCACAATTCTTCAGTTGTAAAAAACAGACACAACTTGCACTTAAAAAGTTCTTTCTCTTCCATTGGAATTATTTTCCTTTTGGGTACACCCATCCTGCCGACTCCTTGTGATGTACCAGCTTTAGTCGTAGCTTAAATAATCAGACAATAAGTTTAAAAAACAGGATCCATTTATTAATATTCAGGAGAAATAGCAGTTACAAAAATCAGATATCCGGAGTAAATAAAAAGAATTACTAATAACTTTTTGTACGAAGTTTACTGCATCGTGACATTTAAGAAAAAGCCCCGATATTCTTTCGCGAGTCCTTTTATAGCCTCTGGAAAGGCGGAGCTTCCAAGAAATGACATCAGCCAATCCAGTCCACTTTAAATACTTCCAGAACATTCTATAACTGTACATGTAGAAAAGGCGGGAAGAACAACTTGTCTACGGGGCTGTGGATTTAAATCCACATACTTTCAAATAAGAGAACGTCGCCATTAAAAATAAAAAGAACATACAGTTAGAATTTTAAGTGTATTCTTGACTATGGAATTTTATTATTACATATATATATATAGAGAGAGAGAGAGAGAGATCATAGAAAATATAAGTCACATTTTTTGTGCAAATTTTAAAAATCATGCAGTAAATACTTGTTCTCTTAGCTGAAAATAAATTCATAATAAATTATTGCAAGTTTAACATTCCAAAAGAAGAAATTACCTTTACAGCCATTACTGTTTGACTTGGCCTGTGAAGCATTTTTTCCACAACACCATATGCACCTCGTCCTAATTCACAGATAGCTTCCAAATCATCTGCTTCAACTTCAAACACCTTTTCATCAATTGTAATTGTAGTTCTTTTGTCTAAATTTCTTGGAGGTGCTCTATAAAAACATTCCCTATTATATATATATATACACACACAAGACAAAAAATATGAAAATCAAAATTATAATTTAAACTGGCAGTAACCGCATAATTCCCCCTCTCTACTCTAAAAATCCTAATAACTTTTCTGGACTGCTTGATTCTTAGATCAATCTATCTTGTATGTCTTGCATAATACTGATGACATAGCTAATTTGAAACTTGAACTAAAAATTTCGAGAACTTAAACCTTTTTAATCTAAACCAAAACCTTCTCATTTTGAACCTCCATACTGGATAATTGCACACTTTAGCTTCAGTACCGTTGCACTGAAGATGCTACTTTGTTCCCTTTGCTTTGTCGTGCTGCTTACTACACCGTTATAAAAATATATTAAATATAAAAATTAGTTGAAAAACATTTTGGGCTAAAAATCAGCGAATTGCACTTATTAGCAGAAAATTATCACAATCTCCTAAGAATAATTCATAAACTACTTTCAAACTATAATATTTCTATAATAATGTAATATCAGATATAAATAAAAGCTAGCTAAATGCATAATTTTATATGCATTCCATTTATATATCAATAATAATGAAAATCAATCTGGACAATATTTACATTTTAACAGCCAGTTGATACTGTTCAAGTATCTACTTTAAAATCTTTCCAAAACACTCTTTCCTTCTAGAAATTTTCTCCAAATGAATTCTCCAAGAAAATTTGGATAATTCAATCATCTATAAAACACAACTTTGGGGGAATGTGCATTTTCACACTCTAATACTTTTAGGCTAATGCCATATTTCCGAAAAAAAAAAAAAAAAAAGGAACACTTTCTTTTTTCATAAAAAAGTAAACTACACAGTTGCATTTAAATTCCTTACAAAAAAAAAAACACATACATACTAATCACAAGCAAAACCACAAACATAACCCTCTAACTCCAAAATCTCATGCATTTGGCGAGTTACCAGATAAAATACATTTTCATTAAATTCTGGGTCACCTACTTTGGCGATATAGCATTTTGACCAATGATTCTTGTCACGGTTGGGCGGATCATGTGATCAGAATGAAAACGGCACAAATTTGGCATTGCATGCAACTCGACAATGCACAATAAATAAGGATGATGTTGTTGACAAGGGATGGTTATTTCCAAACCAATTTCTGATCTGCATTCTGATATTTTGCTTGCTAGTTTTTCCCCTGCACTTCCATAAAATTTAATAGTTTAAATTCAACTTCATGGAAAACAAATTTCTGCATTCTCTACTGTTGGGCAAATGCCATATTTCTGCAAAAATACAACATTTTCTTTGCAGCAGCCAGCAAACTCCGTACCACCATTAGGATTCGTTATAAGAAAAACAAACATAATCGATGTGAAAAGCACTAATCAATGCATTTCAGAAGTGCATATCCATATAAAAAGATACAAGCCACATGCATACTTGAATTGCCACATAATTACTTTTGGGCATTTTACTGCACTGCTTTATGAATACCTTTTTGGTGGGCTTCAGATAATCAGAATGTATTATTTTATACATAGAATAAAATAAAAAAATAAATAAATAAATAATAATAATAAATAAATAAATAAAATAATTCTTTATATGAAGAATAAAGAATAAAAATAAAATAATAAACAAAAAAATTCTTTATATGAATAAGAGAATAAATAAAAATAAAAGAATTCTTTATATGAATATTAGAGTTATTAATGTATTCAAACATCTGAACTTACAAGGATTCTTCTTTCACATCTTCTACAAGCACCAATTTAGGCGGCCTTTTCTTCCCAGCCATAAATTATAGTATCAGGAACTTGTGTATGACTCAAATTTAACTAAATAAGAAAGATATGATGTAAATACATTTCTGAATATATAAAATAATAACAACAAAAAAAGACACAAAGATAAACATTAAACTTTCCCTACAATAAATTTTATTAAAGATATTCAAAAAAATGTAACCACAGATATAATATTTTTAATTACATACAGGATATTTTCATACTAAAATTTTACACAGCAGTAGACTTCACTGCTCTTAAATTATTGTCTCACAATTTAAATTATGCTAAATATCAGATGTTTTCCCACTGACAATCTGGTATACTGATAAGAAACTATGCAACTGTAATTTGATTATGCAGTCTTCATATCTTGATGCTATACTAAATACTAAAAAAGGGTTTTTTTTAAACTAACATTCATCAAATTCAAATAATAAAATGTAATCACTTAAAGGGTTCTGAAACTTATCATTAGATTACTTTTGATAAGATAATGGCAGTTAAAACCATGCATATGGCATTAAGTTTAAATGTCATATGCTTTACAAAAGGCATTCTTAAAAGTTTAAAAGGCACTCTAGATTCAAATCTATTTTAATCTCAAAACAGATGTAAAACTTGGTTTTACATTTTATGCAGAAAGTGCAACTGGCTTTTCTACTGCAAATTATAAAATAAGGTGGAAAAAATGCAACTGAATTAAAAAATATTAGTTGAAATAATATATTTTTTATTAACTTTTTAAACAGAAAATATATACATAATTCAGACTTATTTATCATCATCTAGTATACAAAATGATATAATAACAAAATATGTAGCAAACTTTTCAATAAAAACTCCCTTCTAATTAAATAAACAAAAATAAAGAATATGATGCATTTATATCTTATGCAAACAAAATACTGTTTGAATATTTTAGATTTTAATAGCAAATATCTTCCCTATTATAAATTATGTTTAATTAATCCAATTTCAAAGAAGAAACCTGAGACTTAATGCTATGTACAATTCTTTCCTATCTCCACTTTTTTTTGAACAAGCAAAACCCAATGTCACTAACAAATATCATTGAAATTTGCCTATTTATTTATACACTTCACCTACCTCTTCTAATCACTCGACAAAATTTTAACATATTTTATGTAAATGAATTACACTCTAGATCCATGTTTTCTAATTTAATTTCATCATGAATAATGGTGGATTGAAATAAACCTCGAAAAATTCTTACTAGAACTTTTACATTTAAAATAAGAAAAAAGTTTGGGGGTTCAAATTTAAACAATTCTCTATTGCACAATTTACTTAAAAAAAAAAACTGGAATCTTAAACTTCAGATTAAAATCTCACATCCCGAAAATTTTATAAAGTTAAAAAAAAAATTCTTTAACTTTTAGAAATGATTACATTATACAAAAATTGCCATCTGACCTTAATAAGTAAATTTCTGCTAAACACCCAAAACAATTTTAAGTTGAGGAGTAACGAAACCTCAAAACCCCAACTAGCTTAAGAGTTAGTCCCTGAGCTAGAAAACGTAAAATCTTAGCTAATGATCTAATATATGTGAGCTACTGCTTTAGTTATTTATTTTTTAAGATGGCACCACTAAAATGGTTGTTGATTTAACCATTTCTTTTTCCTGCTATTTTACTGCATGTCTGAATATGAAACCTACTGAACGTTTTCTTTTATAAAGCCATTATTGATCAATTATGATGCGAATGAAGTTTAAATTTCACAGGTTAGTTACATTAAAACATATTAATTAATGAAATAATTTTCATTTATGTATTCTTAATTTGTATTATAAGGTACTTCTCTTGCCTTCTTAGCGTGCCTTTGTGGTCTGCATGCTGGGCACATATTCCAGTGGTCCGTGGTTCGATTTCCAGCAAAGGCATTGCTCATTTTTCATCTCTCCTGCTTCCAAAATACCTAATGTCTCTAAATTGGCGTCTGAACGAAAAGGGTGGTGGATGATGATTCATAACACACAGGATTTGATGATCAGGGCTTCTAAAATCTCCAGCCACCCTTTAAAAGGGGGAGTATATAAGGTATTTCTCCTTGCCTTCTTAGCGTGCCTTCGTGGTATAGTGCTCTGCATGCCGGGCGTGTAATCCAGAGTCCGTGTTTCGATTCCCGGCAAAGGCGTTGCTCATTTTTCATCTCTCCTGCTTTCAAAATACCTGATGTCTCTACAGTATTGATTTTCATGTTTAAAAATAGTGCTTTAATGGCATCCTCTAAGAAAAAGCAGTAGCTTGCATACTACATTATTATCAAAGCTCATAAAACAAGCTTTTCAGAATGGCAGAGACAAATAATAGGAAAACAATTGCTATGATATTATTTCATTATAAATTGATGCCATGTAGAGACTTCTGCAGCAATTTCATAAAAAAGGACTTCTTTATTTAAGGATAGTTATGCAATTATTTTACTGGATCAACTGCACACAAGGCCTGCAAAAATGCCTCATTTTCTATTCTGCCAGGACACCGAATCTCTGAAGTGAAACACACATTTCAATGAGATTTCTACAATTTTTTTAAATATTAAAAAAATTAATTAAAACACCTTATAATTATTCTTTCCTTTTATAATTTTTAACCAACATTATTAACAAAACGAGCTGCCTCCTGAAATTCTTGAGCTTCCATCTAGTTTACCTTGCATTTGAAGAATTACTGTGCATATTATTTGTGCAGGTTCAGCATTAAATTAATACAGCTTTATCAGCATTGATATCTTGCATGGCTCTGCCATTTACATACAGATAAATTACATGACCTGCAGCATACTATAAGAGAATTTTTTATAAGTTTCAATAATAGCAAATTTAGATGGTAGAATGGCTGAATGTAATAAGATTAATTTGAAGTTGGAACGTAAGGGGAAAAGAGCATTAATCAAATGGTATGTAAATAAAGGTTTACTTAATAATCATTTTCCGAACAGTCTGGAACTACGGAGGATATTTTTTACTCTTATTTTTACGAATTTATGTGGCGACGCCAATATACGGATTCGAGTTAAGATAATTTTAGGAAGTTTTTGGATGCTATTAAAGAATTTTGTGTGTTACGGACTGAAGATGAAGAAGAAATTTCTAAATAAGGTAAGCAGATATTTACTTTATGTAGTGCTTAGATGCATAAGAGGTTTTTCCTTTTTTATGTTATTAATATAAATTTAATAATAATTTGGTTTACAATGTAGTTTTTTGAGATTATGTATTTTTTGTTTGCCTCTACTGTAGAATTAGGTGCTCCTTTGACTTTTTAAGTGAAAACATATCGATGTGTACATGGACAAAGTCAAGGGAGTGGGCTATGCCAAGTTTGTGCAATTCTGTGATTTTTTTTTTAGCTGAAAATAGGTCGACGTGTACATGGATAAAGTCAAGGGAGTGCACAATGCCTAGGTTGTGCAATTCTGTGATTTTTTTTAAAGTGAAAATAGGTGAATGTGTAAATGGATAATGAGTTTGTGCAGTTCTTTGACCTGTTATTTTTTCTTTGTTCTTTTGATTTTCAGCACTAAAATCGCCGCTACACAAAGCCAAAATAATAAGTCAAAGAATTGCACAAACTTGGTTGTTTACCTTCAAAAATTTTAATACACTTCTGCTATCAGGACTGTATTAAAAAATGTATGTATGTATGTGTTCAGGTATGAATGTATATATGCATCGATGAGTGTTCACAGACACACGCATATAAGCACATGCATCCATACATTTCTAAATATGGTCCTGATAACAGAAGAGTACCAACATTTTAACCACTTTCAATATTTACACTAAATTTTGAAGATTTAACCTGTCTCACAAAATTACTTTGTCAGTAAGTCACCATCTACCAGAAGAAATCTAATTTCGAAAAAATACTTTGGCTTTCCAATTAGTGAGAGAGTATGACAAAGGGCTATTCTGAATTTATTCTGCATAGCAGACTTGAAGCTAATTAAGGTTCTAAAGATCAAGTCTCTCTGAGTAAAATATTAACATTGATATAACATTTGTAAAACAGATTTACATTTTAAGAGGCTTTGCAACATATTATTTACGTGCATTAAATCTCAGATACTTCCCGTTTCTTTCATACATAAAGGAAACATTACAAATAATTAGCTATAATTTTTTTTCAGGATTTTCATTTTTTCTGAAATAAATCTGCACCTCCACCGATAGCCAAAATTCTGCACTAGCTCTAAAGGAAAATATAACTCAGTTAAGTATGGAAACAAAGAGTTAGATTTTTTTTAGTTAATGCGATTTACGTTTTAAACGGTAGCGGTAAAATGATACACAATCACTGTAAATTACAAGCACAATTTGCCAGAAGGCAACATGCAGTTCTATAGAAATATTTCATAGTATATTTTATTTAAGCCTACCTTAAAAAATATACTCAGTAAAAGCCCGTAAAGCATTCATCAGTAAAATGCAAAAGCATAAACTGATGTAAAATTATCGCTCTTTGGAATTTTAAAAGAAATTTAAGAAGCTTCAAGACGATTAACAAAATTATGTCAGTGAATTGCTCGACACCAAAACATTATAAATAATATTTTATTAAATATAAATTATTGTTTTACTTTGTTTATTATTTAAATTTTTACAAATAAAATAATGTATTTTGTGCTATTATAAAATAATTAATAATTTATTTACAAGATCTGAATTTGAATTGATTTAGGACACTATTATTTTAATATAATAAATCCTGAAAAATATTTGATGAAATGAGACTCGGCCTTAAAACAACTAAACTTCTCCTTTCATCAGCGTTCTGAAATTCGGTAGTGGCCATATTCAGCGGTTAAGCCGTTTTAAAGGAAAAAACAACAACTCGTATTTAGGAAATTCAGGTGAGAAGCATTTTTTAATACTAATTTAATCATCTAGAATTTATTTTACGTATATGCATTTTATATGGTGTGTGCCTGTACCGTATGTATAAATAATTTAATAGCCTGATAACGTAGCATAATATTGTATAAATAATTTCACGTGAATTCGCATTCTATCGCTTAAATGTTGTGTAGAAAATTTTCTGTTTCTAATTTAAAGCTCTGAGCTAAGCCTTACGCAGTTAAAATATAAATATAAGTTCGTCAATGAAAGTCGTACTTGGTAAAAAGAAATTAGTGTCTTTGTATTACTTGAGTTGCAGTAATTATGGAGTAGGTTTATTTGAGCTTTGTTGTTTTCTCATTGTTAAAAAAGAAACTTTATTTGTTATTCTGTGCGAATTTTTCTTTTCCTTTATGAAGCGTAAGTATGAAATTAAATTTGATTTCCCGAAAAATGCGACGAAGAGAATACCGGAAATGAATGTTGCAAAGCAAAAAAGACAATAAATAAAAATTGCACCACTTTTAAAATTAAAACCAGATAATTTGTTTTCAGCGTCATAAGTGTTAAGATCAACAATTCGTCGGGCTTTCCGTTACATTTTGAATATTATTTGGAAAAAGTTACCTGGCTTTTTTTAATACTTTCCTTGAAATTATTGAACAAACTAGCTTATATTCAAGTGTGTGTGTGTATATATATATATTTAAATTTAATTATTTATTCTTTTATCTCTGTTAAAATTTAAAGGGCTAAGTGAAATTAGTTGGAAGTGATTTAACACTTTGTATTCGAGCTTCATATGACATGACATCACAAAAACTGTATTTAAGGAAGCAGTACTGGGAATGTTAAGCCAATAATTCTTCCCATATGCAGCAATGCAGAGAAACATCTGTCTCTGTAAACTTCCTTCATTAAACGAAAATAATTCATCTACTCACTTTTAAGAAATTCAAAAAAGTGAAAAATCAGACAAAATAATATATAAATGAAGAATAAATTACATGTGGAAAGACAAATGATATGTCTGATCCTACAACAAGCAAAATTAAAATCAGCAATGTAAGAAACCAAAAAGGATCGTAAGTAAAATGGTTGCTACCTCTGAATATGTGAATTTGTTGGGTTTCCAGGTTTGAACTACCATGGCCGTTTCTGGCAGTGTTTACATTTACCGGATACTCTGTGGAGCTGCTTCCTCAATGAGATTTTAAAATCTCTCTTGTAAGAAGCTGCTGCTACTTTAAATTGGGTAGGATAGACTTTAAGGTACCCTTGTGTTATGGTGAAGTTGTTTCATGTATGGTAGCCTAATGTTATGGAAACTCTATTGTGACATAATCGGGTGCATGATTCTGGGAAATTTTGAATCGTGGGATGTTTTCTAAGCGTTTTTGTAATGTGTGTTAAAACCGTTTAGATGGATTTGGGTTTGTAGGAAGAAAGGTTCAGATGGTCACTATGTGAAGTGTTCGATCAGAAAGAGTACCTGGTTAGAAAAAAGTCATTTGAGTATGATTGATATTTTGATATTTACGTGGCTCTCGGTGTATGAAGGGAACTCGAAAATCATTGTAAGTGAATTATTTGCTTTTGGTAGTGCTTAAATGTATAACATGTTTTTCTTTTTTCTATGTTTTGTTTAAAATGTATTTTATTGAGATTATGTATTTTTTGTTTGCCTATATTTGGTGCTCCTTTGACTTTTTAAGTGAAAATATATTCAATGTGTACATGGATAAAGTCAAAGGAGTGCGGAATGCCATTTTTGTGCAATACGGGTTTTTTTTTTAAGTGAAAATAAGTCGATGTGTACATGGATACCAAGATTGTGCAATTGTTTGTCTTGTTATCTTGGCTTTGTGTAGCGGCAATTTTTGCGCCAAAAATTGCCGCTACACAAAGCCAAAATAATGATTTAAAGAATTGCACAAAATCGGTATTCATGTACTGCCAAGTTTTGCCAAGGGGTATCCTAAGCTATACTTTTACCAGCCTAATTTAATAACAAGCTAATTTTTTTTTTACCATAGTAGACATATTCGTTTACATTTGAAAGTTATCAGAATAGTGGATCAGAAAAGTCTTTGCCGAGTAGAACCAAAAGGAAAGTTTTAGTACTGTGCAGTGAAAAATCTGTCTTCTTGCTTGCTGGCCGAATTGCTTGTTTTTGCATAGAAACTGTAATTTTAATTGTAAAAATTGTTTTAACTATATTTGGTTTTATGGGTACTTTTCCGTTTCGCCGGCGCAAATCTCGCCAAGCAGACTTTGTTGGCAACAGCATACAGTATACACATAAAAAATGTTAACACATGTTAGTTCTAAGAATTTTTTTAACAAATGTTAGTTCTAAGAATTTTTTTATTTTGATATGGTTTGATTTTAATATGGTTTAAAAATTTGTAAAAAGACATTAAGAATTTGCTATGCTTTCATAGTTGAACATCCTGATTCGCCGGCTCTTATCACGTGACCCCAAGTGATCTCATCTCGCGTAAACTACGCTACAAAAATCTAATTCTCTCAGTAATTATCTACATTAATTTCAAGTTGTATCTTAATTGGAATACAAGTTTAAATGCAAGAGTTATTTCAGTTCGTATGAATAGCTTACTCGAAATTATGTAAAGCCAAAGTGCTTTGCTTCGCTAGTGCATTCTCATTAGAATGGCTGAATTTAACCCTTGATTTTACCTTTCTATATCTTCACCTTCCTGTGAGCGGGATGTTTGCATCCTAATTGACGTAATTACCACAAATGGTCTTGGGGCATAAAATTTAACTATCTTGTAAAAATTCTATATAATTGTATGCCAGTATTGAAAGAAACAATCAATCTGATAAGAAATGGCTGCAACGTGTTTTGAAAATGAAGTGTAAAAGGTTACTAGTGAAGATATTCCATTTGGCATCAGTTGTACCATTATTGGCGACTTTTATCATTTGCATTGGCAAAACGGAAAAGTACCTTTTTATGTTTTTCTATAGCTTTAAATTTTTAATCAAAATATTTTGAGTTTTTATGTATTTTCCCTTGTTGTGAAGTGGGAACTGAATTAATTGAATGAGAAATATACATTTGTCTAATGAAATTCGAAGCAATAAGTTTAAATGAAATACAGGACAAAATGTGTATAATTTAATATTCCATACAAGGAAGTCGTGTGGTGTACACTTCAGCTTTTTTTTTTAAATTAATTTCCTGGAAAATCCCAAAATACTTTATCAATGATTGAGTTATTATATTTCAAGTGTTTTATAGACCACCCTTTTTTTCTTTCAATCCTTTTAAGTGTATTTAAATATGTCACTTTTTAGTTTATACTTACTTAAGCTTATCATTTAATTTTTCCTTTTATAGATTAAAGTATTTGCCAGGTAAATGGGAGAAGATAAAGGTAAGTTCTTTTATATGGATTTCAGGAAAGCGCTCTGAAGTATTGTTCAGATATCTTAAAATCAAAATTTTACATATTTCAGACAAAGATTGGGATAGAGATAGAAGACGTGAAAGAAGGCGGTCCCGCTCAGGATCTCGTGGACGATCTGCTCGGGGGAAGAGATCTCGTTCTCGATCACGAGATAGGAAACGATCACATTCAAGAGATAGACGGTATAGTTTTTAAAATTTGTATTTTGTGTTTGGGAAAAAAATCTTACCTTTTTACAAAACTCGAAAAGGTCTGGTTTTTTGGAGTTTAGTTTATTAATAAATAATGTGCAGAATTCTAAAGAATTAATAATTCTTTTAATGTTTGTATTAAAGCAGTTTGCCTTCCTGTTGTATGAAATTTATAATTAGTATATCAATAGAATAGGCCAGATAGGTATTTACATATCCTGTTAAATGTAAAACTGCCTCTAAGCAGCACAATTTAGTGTCTATTTTGAATAAGCATAACATCATTATGTACTCGTTAAATCTATGCTTCCTTTTGATGTAACCCCAATTGAATTTCACTAAGGCACCCTTTGTATTTTTTATTTGTATTAAAAAAAAAAAAAGAAAAAGAAAAGGTTTTGCAAACTGTATAGTCACAATTGACCTCAGTCAGGTTCATTTATAGCTGGTTGAGAAAATTAACATATGTTGAATGAGAAAAAGAATAGTTGTATGAAGAAGCCAATTAAATGGCAATAGATCAGAACAGTTATGTGCAGAAGTTTGTATTCATAGCATTCTGAATAGTTTTTGGTAAAATCAGAGGGCTTAACAAAATAATATAAATCAACTTAAATCTTTTTATGAAGTGCGAAAGTAAAGCAGGTCAAATACTTCTGCAGCAGGGGCTATGTAGTGGATTTAGCCGAAAAACTGACAAAGATTTTATTGTTATTGTAAGAGTTTCAGTGCTGCTCAGAATTCCTCAAGAATGATAGGAGCAATATCTGCCAACTGAGTTGGTTGATACCATAAATACTGTCAGATGTATTCAAAATTGGTTTTTAAAGTTAGATATCTTTAATGCACGAAGTGCGTGAATATTTCCAGTAACTACAAAAGCAGATAATAAGTTTTGTTATTATTTTTTAAATTACTTTTATCTGTGACAAATTGTAAAATTCATCTTTTTATAAGGTATTGATTTGGCTTTAACCCTCTATGTATAATTCTTGCAATTTGAATAGGTTTATAGAGGTCATCCACTGTGTTTCGTAAAAAATTGCAGGGAATGATTTTTCCCCCATTTGATTTTAATCTATATTCTGCTCTTTCTTAGTGTAGGGTAAAATTGTCATAGTACTCATTATTTTGATGCTACAGGCTCCATTTTGCTGTAGAGAATTGTGCATAAAAGCTTCGAATTTGATCATCTAAAACTTTTCCAGGGATGCTAGCATAAGCTATATTTCCATAGTAAAGAAAGATTTTGCCAGCTATACCACCAAATCATATACAAATGGAACCTAAAAGACTGCTGTATGTTGCTCCAAGAAAGATAAAAACAGAAAGGAAATACATAAAGACATTCGTATTTGGTGTGAAGTGTGTCAAGTTACGCTATGCTTCAGAATTTATCCCAAGCAGAAAAGCTTTACATGATAATTATAATAGTGTAAAATAATAGTATATAAAAGTAAGTGAATAAAAATAACAGTGCAGCTTTATTCCTAAGGTCAGTATAAACAACTTGTAGCATTTATGAATAAAACTTTTTGCCATTTTAAATCGATCTTTGGTATGTATCTAATGTAGTATAAAGCAAGACTAGTTTTTCTTTTTTACAAATTTTATCATTTAAAAATAAAAATGCCGCACATAATTTTAAACCGCAAAAAGCAATTAAATTACTTGCATGGTTTAAAAACCAATAAAGATGTGAATAATAATAAATGTAGGCAAGAAAAGTATTTAAAAAAAACATCATCCTATATTTCAGAACTGCAAAGTATGGGAATCGAACTGTACATGGAAGGTTAATAGACTTAACACATTTCAAAAATCAACATTGACTGTCCTGGAATAAGTATGCAAGACCTCAAGAAAGTTTTTGATCATTTGAACTTGTTTTGGTATATCTTTGGGAATTTAGAAAATGATTCTATAAGATTTTCAAGAATAACAGTTTGCACCTTGATGAGTTTTCTAATTATTATAAAACAATAGAGGAAAAGTCATCAGTGGTGACCTTATAGTTATTAACATAATAATGGGGCTTAGTTAGCAATAAGATGAACTGAACTGTAAATGAGATTATGAAATTGATTGAATATGTTTACATCAGAGCAGTTATAATACCTATAGAAAGCGATTTTTATGTTACCATTGATTGATCTATTTGATTAGTGTGTCTTTTCATTTCAAATATAGTGAATTAATTTGGCATTGAATTTAAAATTTTTTTATATTATAAAACTTTTAATGTTCATTTTGTGATTTTAATGATTTGGGTGTTTAAAATGTGACTATTTGAATCTAGAAAGCTGAAATTCAGCTGTCCATACAGTTCATTAAGCAGATACGTATTAAGTACGTGTGTATGATTTGATTTTTTTTTTTTTTCAGTCTGAAGTAAAACATTTAAAAAAAGATTGAATTAATATTGTTTTATTTAATAACCAATTTTGCTTGTAAAATTAAAATGTATTTAAATGATCCGATGTTAAATTTTCGGTACAACTCTGATATACGCCCTAATTTCACCAAATGTGGTGATATGTGTTTTGCGCTGGTTTTTGGCACGATTGCATGTTGTATGGCAATCCTGTTGACGTTGAAAATCTTTCGCTGGAGTTCGTTGGTTCCCGTCATGCTTTGTGTCTGAGAAGCTAGAGGGGGAAAGATTTAATGGTGAAAATTGTTGAAGTTCGGCATAAGGAAATATCGTCGTGGCCATCCTGTTGAGGGGTAATGGGTATTTGGAGGTGTGGAAAGAAGGTATGGGAGATTATTTTTAGTGGCTGTGCGTGATAGAAGTAGGGATTTGTGATTATTTGTTATTTTATTTATTTGTGAACCATAGTATGAATTTTCTGTATAGTGTGTCTGGCTGTCATATAAATACGATAGTGATTACGTGACGATACGTTAAAGGCGGTATGAAATTGGTATTTCTGTTGTTCGAAAAAGGATTAATGGTAAGTGCATTTTATTTCATTTTGTTCTTATTTTCTAGAATGTTATGTTCATTGTTTTTTTGGTATGAATTTCTGTTGTTATTGTTGTTTTTTTTGAATTGTTTGAAATTTATTTTAGTTATTTTGTTGATTAGTGCGTACCGTCTAAATTGTGCTATTCGTAGATGTTTTTTCAAGTTGAAACAGAACACTGTGTACGTGGTATTCTTTGAAATTTATTGTTATGTTAATTTATTAAAGTGAGGTGTGCATAGTTCGTAAATTCATTCGTTGCCTAGATGGTGCCATTCGTAGATGTTTTTTTTAAGTTAAAACATATCTCTGTGTACATGGACTCTTGTCAAATAATTTTGGTTAGAAACTTCACAGTTTTGCTGTCTACATTTTTTGTTTTTGTTTAGGATTTTTAGCTTAAATTGTGTGTTCAAAACATGGTTTTTGCATTAGCGAAAACCGTGTTTTTGGAGACATTTTAGGCTTAAAGTTCGAAATGTAGACAAAAAATTTAGGCAGCGTGGAGTTTCTCGCCAAAAATATTTGGTGAGAAATTTGGCGGCTTGAGGGCGCATATCAGAGTAGTTCCAATTTTTCCAGCATGTTGGGAAAGAAATTCTGTAATATTAAACCATACGTAGGTAAGATAACTTATGAAACATTATATTATGCTAATAAATTAGTGCAAAACATAATTCATGGTGATTCTTTCTTTTAAATTAAAGGTTACTAAGTTTTAAGCTAGTAAACTAAAGTATTATTTATTAAATGTGTTTTGTGCTCTTTCTGTGGTAGAATCAATTTTATGTAGCTGATTTTGTTAAAGGGTCTTATACTATATTATCCTTTTATTACTCTAAAAATACATATTTATAGTGCAAATAAAATGAAACTGAATTCCTATAAAATTTTCATTTTCTTATTTGCTGATGAAATCATAATTAAAAAAGCAAACATAAAATAAAGCTCAAACTCAAAAAGCCAAGAAAAGTAGATTTGAAAATATAAATTTTAAGCTAGAATAGTTGAAGCTTGATCTAAATAAAGCTTCAGAGTGTGTTTACATGTAAATTGCACTCTGCATACATAATGGTTGTGCTTAAAATCTAGGGTTAAAAAGAGAGCTAGGCGTTCCTTTGTGTGATTTCTTGCCGAAGCAATCCTCGTAGGGAGAGTTAACAGGAAGTAGTCTGATGTCACTATGTTATGTTGCAACTGCACTGAATTTGCCTGCTTAAAACTAACAATATGGACATCCAAAATTAATTTTAATCACATATATTATTTTCTAGTAAAGCTTTCTCAAAAGTTGGCGGCCTACGGGCTGTTTGCAGCCCTCGAAAGTAGTTTTATGCTGCCTGCAAATACATTTCGTGTAAATTAATGTTATTCTAAAAAAAATTTGAAAAACAAATTTAAGATTTTAATGGTTTGGAGTCAAGGTTTACATTGTATTCATTAACAAAAACGAATGTAACTTTTTGGAAAATCTAAAAATAGAGCTAATTAATTTACACTGTGATATAATGCTTGTTCAAAGACTTACACAGATACAAAAAGAGATACAAATTTAATTAACTTTTATTAATACTTGTCAAAAGATAAATATCTTAAGTTATGAATTTTTGCAATAAGAATACTTGCTTTGTTTTTGAGTACATTTACATAGAGCAATTTTTTTTTTTCATAGTTGAAAATTAGTAAATCTATAAAAAGAACCCGACTGTCCATGAGTATCTGCAGTTTATGGTGATACTCTTTTGTAATTTCCCTCCAAAATTACAGACTTCATGAAAATCAAAACATCACGAGATGGTGTAGCTGAAAGGTGTAGTAAAAAACAAAGAAGTTTACAATAATTTGCATACAAATATTTATTCTGTTTTGTTTCGTAGAAAAATCTAATAAATAAAAGAAAGACAATATGGTGACATTATTTATTCTCAAGTTTTGTCATTCTTGGTAAGCTTTTGTATATTTCTTTTTAGTTTAAGTTAAAAGTAAGTTACTCGGTAGTTCAATATATTACAATTAATTGAATAAATGCCAGGTATTTAGCTGTCTGTTTGAATTCCAAATTATGACCAAGAGGGAATTTCTTGCAGATACCAACTTTTAGATTTCAGGCAAAATATAAGTATAAATCTGGTATTTTTCTTTTTGTTTGTATATTTTTACAAATATTTGGTAAAAAAATTTAATTTACAAATTTTAGTTTGCTAAAAAAATCCCAGCGAGAATTTTGTTTTTAGTGCTCACACAAACTCAAATTCTTTTGAGATTGATATCTGAGAGAAATGTGTCACAAATTAAATGGATTTTTGCAGAGATGTTTGTATACAAAAATAGTATGGCTGGAGGTTCTGATATGATGGTTAATACTGATGAAAGCATAAATATAATTGTGATAAAGGAGTGAATGAAGCCTCTGTATTTGGAGGTGTTAAAAAAGGTCTGACAATGTAGTGTTTTTTGGCGGGGAGTTGAGGGAAAGAATAGTAAAAACTATTCTCGATAATCTTAATGAGAAACATAAACCAGGATTCTGTAGTTGTCTCAGCTAACTGAAAGGCATGTAATTGTCTTCTTGATGAAGGTTTTATGTATCTTTCAGTCAATCTAACAAGGTGTTGTTTTAGGTCAGAGAGTGAGGGAAAGAATAACAAAAACTCTTAATAATCTTAAAGAGAAGCATAAAACAGGGTTTTGTAGTTGTCTCAGATAACTGAAAGTCATGTAACTGTCTTCATGATGAAGATTTTTTTATAAATTTCAGTTGGTCCTAGTGTGACATTAAAGGGCAGTTATTTTCTAGGGCTTTCACAAACTCAGGTAAGGTTTGTAAAGTCTCATTAAAAGATCTCTGCATCTGCCTGCTATATTTAGCATTTCTTTTGAGATCAATGTTTCGGAATATGTAACGGATTGGAGGAGTTTTTCCTGAGCAGTATGTATAGAAATGGATGTGTCCAAAAATAGTATGATTAGGATCTATGATTGTTGAAAGCAAATTAGAGTACAGTGGGACCTTGAGATACAAGCACCTCTATATCGAAGAAATTCAAGATATGAGGAAAGTGTAAGCAAAAAAATTTGTCCCTAAATACGAGCATTCTCGAGTAACGAGCAATCAGCCAGGTTGTTGGTGGTACGCTTGGTGCCATTTCCTGACTTGAGTCTGGAAACCCCCTCGTTAGATCATTCAGTGTTCATTGATCTACATGTTTGTGCACTTGTTAATCAATTGTTTATTACATTTAATGTGAAAATAATTATTTCACGTTGCCTCACAAAAAGATTGTTGCCTCAGATAGTGCTGCAAAGAAAAATAAAGAAGCTATGGCTGTTGAAATTAAGAAAGAAATCTTAGATAAACATACTCGTGGTGTAAGAGTGATGGATTTGGTGAAGACTTGTAGCCTTTCGACGTTGACGATTTGCAGTGTTCTGAAGAAGCAGGAAAAAATTAAGAAATCTGATGTAGCCAAAGGAGTTACCATTACTTCAAAGCACTATCCAAAACTCCTAGAAGGTGTTGTTGATATGGATTAACGAGAAGCAGTTAAAAGGTTGGTGTCAGAAGCTATCATAAAGGTAAACTACAGTTATATTATTTACCAGTGTCATTTGTTAGAAAAATTGATTTTTATGTTTATATTTTTAGGGGTACGGAATGGATTAACTGGATTTCTATTATTTTTAATGGGGAAGTTTGTTTCTAGATACGAGAAATTCGCTATACAAGCTCAATGCTGAAATGAATTTAACTCATATCTCGGGTTTCACTGTACTTCCTTTACTTTTTACAAGAAAGTAAAAGCAAGGATATAATTGTATAGAATATCGAAGTCGAATAGTCGAGTGAATGGAACCTGGTTGCTTGAATTCACTGAAAAGGGATCCAACATTTTTTTTAAAGGATTGTTGAGGAAAAAACGGAAGAAAACTCTTCTCAAGAGTCATTAAGAGAAACATAAGCAGGTTTCTTGGAAGCATATAATTGTCTTCAAGATAAAGCTCTTATACACCTTTCAGTCATTACCATCTTAACAGATTATGTAGGCTGCTGGGGAAAAGCCCGGTGGACTTGTGCATTAAAACAGTCTTGACCAGAGTCATGCCAAAGATGGGATAAGTGGGGATAAAAAATAAGAAGGAAGGGTATTAAAATGTAACTAATATTAATATGAGAATGGAAAAAAACATTTAAGTGCAGTTTTGATAGTATTTAGGATGTTAAAAATCTGTCAGTATAACTCACAACTCTCTTGATGTAACTGCCATGTAAACATAAATATTATATATGATACATTTTAGGAGAAATGAAGCACGAGTTCCCCGAAGGAGAAAGAAGTCTTTGTACTGGGATGTTCCAGCTCCTGGATTCGAACATATATCTACCCAACAGTATAAAGACATGCAAAGTAGGTTTTTCTATAATTTGTCAATATGTGCAAATATTGTATAAAGTTAGCACTAGTCAAAAGATGTTGCATATAATCTTTACTTGGTAACTTCCATTCATTAATTCAGTGTTACATCAGTGGAAATTTCCTTGAATAGTTAACTGATAATGTGTTTTATAATTAAAGTGCTTGTGTTCCCATTCATATATTTTGTTGCTTCAGTAAGTCATATCTTTTATTTCATTCTTAGATAGCTGTCTGAGTAAAATATATGTATGTAATGTATTCAAACTCAACTAAGCCAGGAGCAGGAGGAGAATGACTAGGAAATTGGAGGTGAAAGCAGATTAAATCTTCAGTTTTATTTTCAGCAACATCTTATGGCTACACACAAGTTGGCACATTGCATGTGCTTCTTCCGAAGGGCTTACATTTTTGATAGCTTTGTAGCAAGATAGCAACAGCAGTCTAGCTAAGCCAAAGCGTGGAAAGCAAGTGTGTTATTTTCAAGGTGAAATCTTATTCAGACTGAGTTAGTTTTGGTTCTCAATACATTCTGATTGCACAGTTAATACTGCTGTAAAATTACTATTAGATGGTTGAGTTTTAGTTTCATTTACATCATCATAATCATGTAAGAATCATATGTCATAGATTTTTCTCGAAATGACGCAGTGCAGAGAGAGGTTACTATTTTTAGAATTGAGAAGGGAAATTTACGTTGTTAATTTAATCTTTTATATATTCTTTATTTTTCTTACATGTATATCTGAATATGTCTTCTGTTATTAAAAAAGAAACTGTGATATAATTTGTAATTGTTTAATAGGCATCAAATTTTTCCAGTTTTAAAATAAACATTATACAGTTTGTTGCAGTGATGGAAAACTAATAGGTGAATCTCATAGGTTCTTTAAATCTTTAAAGTTTCTTTTATTCCTCCCCCCCCCCCCGGAGCATCTCTCAATACTTGCTATATAAAAATTATATAGCGTGTCGCAAAGATGCAAAATTAAGTATAAGTCATACTCGTAGGTTCATGTGTTATCATGACTCCTAATCTGACTTAATACAAGTTTTCTGATCTTTTAATCTATCATAAAGTTGATGCTGTAGTAGCTATCTCTGATACATCTTAATTGTCATGATTTTTATATAAATTAAAATCTTGTTGATAAAGAATTTAAACAAAAATTTAACTAACACCGGCCATATTACTTTAAGTATTACACAGTGTTCCTTCTTTCTAAAGCATCTCTCATACTTGCTATGTAAACATTATGTAGCTTGTCGCAGTGATGCTAAATTAAATGTAGGTTATACTCATAGGTTCATAAGTAATCATAATTCCTAGTCTGACTTGTTACAGATTATTTTTCTGATGATGAAAGTTGTTGAAAAGGAACGATGATAAAAATATTCTGATGTCGTATGGTTTTTCAGAATGCTGTTGTGTGCAGCTTCTTTTTTTTAGCATGCAAGAAAAGCATTGTTCTAATTTAATTGCTGCTTAATTTGGCAAGTATCCATTTTAAAATCATCATGATTGAAAAAATTTCAGATATGTTTATGTATTTTCTAATATTAAAGTGTATTACAGAGATGAAGGATAAAGATATGCATATATATATTTAAAATTCCTCCTACAAAAAATTGTCCAGAATTTTATGCAAATAGTTTCTCGTTATCGTACAGTTTTTTTTTTTTTTTTTCTTCCCTTCTTAAAGCATCTCTCAATACTTGCTATATAACCATTATATAGCATGTCACAATGATGCAAAATTAAACATAAGTCATACTTATGGGTTCATGTATAATGATTCCTAATCTGACTTAATACAAAAAAAGTTTTCTGATTTTGTAAACTCAGAAATTGGTGCCATATTAGCTGTTTCTGATATATCTTAATTGCCATGATTTTTATGTGAACATCAGTTTTGTTAAAGATTTTAAATAGAAATTTAAGTAATTTAGCCATGTTACTTTAAGTGTTATGCAGTGCTCTTTCCCCTCCTCCCCTAAAGCATCTCTCAGTATATACTGTATGAACATCATGCAGCTAAGTTGCAGTGATGCAAAACTAAGTTCAAGTTATACTCATAGTTTCATGAGTGATCATGATTCCTAATCTGTTTTGATACAGTTTTTATTGACTTTTAGTGCTATTGGGGGGAAGAATAATAACTGTTCTCGTAGTCTTCATAATATGTAACCCAGTAATTGTCAAATTAACCCTTTGAGCGGTCAAGGATTTTAGATCCATCATGAAGACCGGTATTTAAACAGCATTTATTGAGTTTGTAAATTACTTATCTTAGTCTGTATTTTCATAAACGTACATTCGTTAAGATAATATTTACATTATTAAAGAAAGTAAGAAAGCAAAATTTCCTTAATTATAAGCTAATATATACCAAGTAGAAAACTTCTGATGACCGGATAAAGCCGATCATAACGCTCGGAGGGTTAATCTTGTCTGTTCACCCCCTCTTGGGAATAAAATAACTTCATTCTACTGAAGGAAAATTGTGTAAATTAGTACTGCTTCAAATTGGTGGGAATTTCTTAATATTGTTGTTTGTATGCCATTTAACTTGCAGGTTCTGGCCAAATACCTCCAAGTATCTATACAACTCAAGGTCCTGTCATTGGCACTGTACCTGTAGTAGGAAGCACAGTTACCAGGCAAGCTAGAAGACTTTATGTGGGCAACATTCCGTTTGGATGTTCTGAGGTATTCTATTCACCCTTTCTGAACTTTGCAGTATAAATTCATTGTTCCCTTTTAGTATAATTTAATATTTTAAAATATGTATGATTATTAATTGCGTAAATTTTGAAATTTTTTGACAGAAAGTATTATTGGTATTGTCATAACTGCCGATTTACTGAGTTTTTGTTACTTAGTTATTAGTTTTATAACTGATAGTGCCACCTCTTTTTACAGTCATCTCATCACACAGTTTGGTGTGCCATCAACCATTGACAGGCAGACAATTAAAAAGCTCAGAACAATCTTTCAAATTTGCATAATCAGAAATCATGTTAGTTTCTTGATTATTATTGAATATTAATAATTTTTTATGTTTTACAAAATATTTATTTCTTTTGCTATGTTTATTGCTTTGCTTATTGGTGTGTATACAAAAACTTCCAGGGTGCGAATAAAAGGGTTAAATAATTTTTTTCTTTTTTAAAATTAGATTAGCTGGTTTAAATATTTCAATTAATTACTCAATGTAACTGAAATGAGCCCCTAAATGTTATCGATATAAATTATATCAAGAATTTGGTGCATATAGTGAATAAAACAGATGAGAGGTAAGACAAAATACACCAGATTTTGTACTACAGTCAAAAGTCGTTAATCCGGAGTCCAATATCCGAAATGATATATAATCCGGACCTCAAAGCTACAAACTTTCTGCGCATGTGTAAATGCATAATGCGTTTTTGCATGCGCATAATACCTTTACGCATGCGCATATGCATTTACGCATGCACGTTTAATGTATAACGGACGGTATAAGGTAAGCTAAAATGAATCTAATTATCTATTTTTGTTAATGTTGCAGATTGCGTTGTTCCTTAATCTTCTAATTGGATCTGGCTTATTTTTTGCAGACTGTTAGAGCAATTTTGTAAAAGTAAACTTAAATTTTCGATTATGTCAAAAAGAATTTCCGATTCTGGAGCTGCCGAAGGATCTACAAAGCGAAAGCATGTTTCGATGTCCATCAAACAAAAAGTGGAATTACTGCAAAAAATAAATAGGCATATCCTTTGTTTTTCTAACCATTCCGAAATCTGTTTATCAATTTCACCCTGCTCTACAGGGGTGGGGGGGAAATGTGGCGGCGGCATGCGATGAACTGGAAGTTGATCTGTCAGCACTATCCTTATCTTCAGGGCAGATGTTTTTATTTTATTCGGCTTATGATTCCTTACTAAATGTGGTATTTTATCTCGATGTACTCCGTCTTTGATATGATTTAAATCAAACTCCTCATCATTATAAATATCACCACATCAAATAGTTTTCTGGTTGCAATTTTCTAATTTCGAATATGCGTAATGTATGCTTTACGCATGTGTGCGTTGAAAGAAATGTTTAATAAGGTAAACAAATAAATATTAAGCCCCCCCCCCTTTTTTTTTTTTTTTTTTTTTTTTGTAAATTTTGATACCCTTTAAATCATAATTGCTCTTTATTTCGTAAATTACGGTTTCATATTTTTAATTTTATAATTTCTTCATGTCATCTTACCAGATTTAAATTGATGGTCTATAATCTGGAATTGCCGAAGTCCCGACGAGTCCGAATTAAAGACTTTTGACTGTACTATATTTAGTTGTTTCAAAATCTGTTTACAATTTGTTGTAAACAGAGTATTAAAAAAAAAAGAGAGAGATGATGAATTTAAGAAAGATAAATTAAACATTGTTGCTGCTTAAGATAACAGTTATTTATATCATTTGCTTCTTATTTCAACTCTTTGTAATGTAAACGTGAAATTTGAGAGTAAATTGATAGCTAAGATTTGAAGACAACATTTTAAAAGCTCTTACAAATTCAACAGAAAAACTGAATGTGAAAGAAATGATAAGCATAAACATTGCTTTTACAAATAAAATATTGTCTGAATAAGAAGTGGGGCTCTTATGCGGTGTAAGATCACCAAATGTGGCGATATGTGTTCTGCGCTGGTTTTTGGTGCGATTCTGTGCTGTGGGATGGTTTGGTGGACGATGCTGTTTGTATGGCAACTCTTTTGACGTGGAAACTTATAGATTGTGCAATTTTTAGATTGTTTTAAGTTTAAACAGGATGCTGTGTACATGGTATTCTTTGAAATTTATTGTTATGTTAATTTATTAAAGCGAGGTGTGCATAGTTCGTAGATTTGTTCGTTGTCTACATTGTGCAATTCGTAGATAAATGTTAAGTTAAAACATATCACTGTGCATATGTATTCTTGTCAAATACACTCATGTCCATAAATTAAGGATAATTCGGAGTCACGCGCAAATCGAACTCTAAAATAAATATATCACCTGTAAAATCACTACACACATCTTCAAGAATCATGTGCAAATTTCAGGAAGTAACCAGATGACACTGATGGTACGTCACAATGACGAGAGTGTAAGAGAGTGATATATAAGAAATACAGGCAAAGAAGTAAAATTGTTTGCAGGCGCTTTATAAGCATTTCAGTGAAATAACTAAATAGTTAAGACATAAAGGACGCATTTGGATGATTTTTTATGTGGTAGAATTATCGGCCGTCTGGAATGTGGGTGTACCCAACTGGAAGTATCAGACGAACTTGGAATTGCCCAGAGTGTCATCTTCCTGCTTTGGTAACGATTCCAAGATGATGTAATGTGAGTAGATGTTACAGCACAGGTCCCCCAGAGTTACAACGCCGAATGAGGTCCGGTATTTGACAGTTACTGCCAAAAGAAACAGGCGGAGCACAGCCTGATGACCTGTCTCGTCAGCTCTCTTCAGCCACTGGTATGACAATTTCAAGGCAGACCGTGTACAGACGCTTAGGGCAGATTGATCTATATGCTCGTGGACCTGTCAGATGGTTCCACTTACTGCAACTCACTGTCGCCTGCGGTTAGCCTGGAGTAGAGAGCATGTGGACACCGCAACAGTGGGCTTGTGTGATGTTTTCCGACGAGTCCATGTTTAGCTTGCAGTCTGATTCTCATCGGACTTTCATATGGAGAGCTGCAGGTACCTGTTACCATTAAGAAAACATCATTGAACAACACCGTTACGGTGGTGCAGGAATGCTCGTTTGGGGTGGAATTATTCTGGGTTCCAGAACTGACCTGCATGTTCAAATTGGAATCATGACAAGCCAAATCTATCGGGACATCATTCTGGAACAACATGTACGTTTGTTTCGTGGTGCCATGGGCGCACAATTTGTGTTTATGGATGACAACGCCCATCCTCACCGTGCAAACATCGTAAGTGAATACCTTCAATCGGAGGATATCACCCGTATGGACTGGCCAGCATTCTCACCGGACTTGAATCCAGTAGAGCACGTGTGGGACATGCTTGGTTGCGTCAACCTCCTCCTACATGTCTATCAGAACTTCAGAGAGCATTGCTTTTTGAGTGGTGTGATATCCCCCAAGATCAGATCAATAATTTGATACTCAGTATGCCTAGGCGTTGTACAGACTGCATTGTATCGTCTGGGAGACATACAATGTATTAACAATCATACCAGCCGTATAATATTGTTTTTTTGTAAATATTTTTTTTTTTTTTTTTTTTTTTTTTTTAATTTGCTCTAGGGAGAAAAAATCGCTAATTTTTTAATAATATTGAACATATAGCATCTTTTTTTGCTCTTTACCTTTTATTTAATAAATAAGCTTTACAAATAAGTCAAATTTGTTTTGCTTCTACCTCTTCCTTTGCCTGATTATCCTTAATTTATGGACATGAGTGTAATTTTGGTTAGTAACTTTACGTTTTTGCTATCTAAATATTTTGTTTTGGATTTTTAGCTTAAATTGTCTGTTCAAAACAGAGTTTTTGCAGTGCGAAAACCGTGTTTTTGAAGACATTTTAGGCTTAAAGTTCGAAATGTAGACAAAAAATTTAGATAGTAATTTAGCACCGTGGATTTTTTGGCGACTTGAGAGCACATATAAGAGTAGTTCCAGAAGTGGTGCCATCTGTGGTAAAGATAATTAACTAACAAAATTCGGTAGATCGCCATTTGCAACAAAACCGTATTATTAGTTATAATTAGCTTATTAAGAACTACAGTGTACTGCTGCTAATTTGAGCTAATGCTGGAGAAACAGGTAAAGGATAATTGAAGAATTGGTCATGAATAAATACAAACTATTAGTTATCATGTTGTATCATTTTAGAAAAATCAGTACTTTGTTTTTAAGAGCATTTAAATATTTGTAGAATTTCACTACATATTTTTCAGTGTTAATTTATCATTGTATCCAAATCCCCTTTGATAAATGAAGTGCAATAGCATTTCAACAGAAATCACTGCTGTCTCAAGACTAATGTAATTGTCTGTGTCTTCCCTTGTATTCTCAGTATCACCCTTTGTGTCTTCTCTTGTGATATTTGAAAGCTATCGAACCATTCATCAGTGTTTTTGTGAGTGTCATTCGTACGGTCCTTAAGAGTTTAATTTTTTCAAAGAATTTTAACTTTTTCCCTTTTTTTTTTTTTTTTTCATATACTTTCAGTTATTGCCTTGACTCCATCAGAGTTACATAAATGTCCAGTTTCTATATTATGAAGAATCTTTCTCTACGATCAGTGTTGTTTGTTTTACATTTGACCAAGCTTTTTCTGTTCCGTATGTGGCAACCAATACAGTCAACTTTTTCCAGCATTTTCATTAAATCACCATCATCCTCAGTAGTTATTAAAACATGCTCGGTCATGTGTGGGATTTTTTTTTACACAATCTCACCCATATAGTTGAGTGTGTATGCATGAGTGCATCCGCACCAGAACAACCGAATATGCTGCAGTTAAATTATTTAAAATGTGTCTTGGTAAAATTTACGATTTTTTACTAAACTTTGTCTTTAATATATGGAATGTTTTATGTGTTTGAGCAATTTATAGAGAACATTGTGTCTGTTTATTCATGAATTTTTTAAAAAAGATTCTCATGTTGTGCTTGGATATGTTTGAAAAAAAAATTAACATATCTTTGTCAT